CTGCTTGCTTTAAAATCGAATTTCTGAGACACATCATCTAGGAATCCGAAAATCTTAGGTTGTTAAATATATGTGAGAGCATTATTCATAACCTGAACTAGTATTTGATGGGAAAAACAACTTAGTGCAAAGAGATTTGGCTTAGGAGTTTTGTAAACAACTGAATCTGATCATTCCTGCATGCTTAGGTTGTTAGGGTTTGCAAAGAGATTTGAAACTCTGTGATTTAGGCATAGATAACTTTTGCAATGAGAATTGATTAGTTATGCATCAGTGATTCATGTTTAAAACGGTTCTTAATCATTCCTGATTTCCTGCGTCATACATTCTTGGAATCAACCTGCGAACTGCTCTGACTTAGCGCTTTTAGTCTTCTGAAACTTAGATCATCTTACAAAATCGTTTGCTTACTTTCATTCATTCATTCGCATTACATACATCATATCTTACTTAGCTTAATCCAAATCTACATTCGATAGTGTAGTCTGCATTACTCTCTTGGGATTTCGATACCCCTTGTACTACAACTGCTTTTGATGTGCACTTGCAGTAGTTTTATTTGGGTAAAACCTGAGCCCTATCAGTTTCATGTTTGTGTGGTTAAGATTTTCAAAGTAACATTAAAAGTATAAGGTAGATTATGTAGACATCACATTTTCATGGATCAAACATTTTTATGGATCAAATTTATTTAACTATGAAATGTTCAAATGTGTTTGCACATGTTCTATGGCTTGCTTTATATGGAAATATGTTTACAAATACGTTTAGAAACTGTGTTATTGACAGTCGTACTGGTTTTCCCAGTTGGACTTGAGTACAAATAAAATGTAGTTGAACTAGTTGTACTTAAAATGAGTGGTACTAGTCGCACCAGTCGTACCAGATATATTAGACGCGGACTATAGAGTTGTACTAGTGGTGTCAAGTCATATCTGATAGAAATAACATGCATATAAGTCTCAGTCATACAAAGTTGCACAAACAGTTGACATAATTTAAAACAAAGACATAAATTACTCTTCACTACTATCAATCCCAAACCATTGAGCCCAGCGTCCACCTCTTCCTCTTCCTCTTCCACAATGTTCTAAAACTGATGGGAATCTTTTTTGTTGTGTTTTTCCTTTCTTTACTTCATATTCTGGTGGTAAGACTTCTTGTGCTTGTATCTCTTCGGGTACAACCCATTCAGACATATGAGGAACTAGATAGATTGTCCTGAAGTATGCCAATGCCCATAGCTCTACCAAATAATATTTGAGCAAAACTCTTATAGATGAAGTTCCCTATCTCTGCTCATATAGATGGCAGCAGCACTTGCATGTACACATGGACATCTGTCTATATCAAAATACTTGCAAGAACATGTTTTCCTAGTCATATCAACCAAATAATTATTTCCATCAAGTCCAATCACATTGTTAACATGGAGATAGTTGTTTAACTCTTGCACCATGAGTTTTTTTGCATCCACACATCTTAGATCCATTTCGTTCTCCACCAAAGGCACAAGCTTCTGTGACAGTGGGACTTCAGCGACAGTTTGCCTATGGGTGTTCCACCATTCAGCCAATTTGGCAACAATTACATCAATCATTGGCAACAACGAGTATTTTCTTGGGTTTACAAAAATACCTTTAATAGATCTACAGTATTGGTGGTATCTATGTTGTACCTTTCTCCTGGAAAATAACATCTTGCCCATTTTTTCTCATCAACATTTTTGTCTAGATACACGGCAGCAGATAGATATTTCATACTAAAAGCACTATAGAGTTTTCCGAACTCAACCTATGTATAAGCTTTAGCGCACTTGATGAACTTCTTTGCACATGCATCTCTGTGGGTAGCAACGTGTCCTTTCACATTCTGTGATAAATGCCTTACACAATACCCATGTTGAGACAAAAGGAACACTTCTCTTATTGACTTGATCAAGCTTGGATTCCTATCCGAAATAAACACCATTCCAGGGACATCTGGTGTTACTGAGTTCAATTGATTCAGAAACCACGTCCAACTTGCATCTTTCTCACCATCAACTACACCAAAAGCAATGGGATAATGGTGATGATCAGGATCCTGAGCTGAAGCAACGATTAGAACTCCACCATATACGTTCTTCAAGTGGGTTCCATCTATAATAATGACTTTCCTCATCGATAGAAACCCTTCTATGCAAGCTCCCAATGCAAAGAATAGGTACTTAAACCTTTTTTGCTCATCTAATTCCACACAAGTCTGTCGGATTCACTTTCTCTAGCATGTACCAATAAGAATATAGCCACCGATAACTCTCCTAAGAACTTCCCCGCACCTCATTAGCAGCTTTGTTTTTTCCTCTCAGCGCTGTCGAGTATGATACTTTCACGCCAAGCCTGCCTTGAACCATATTGATCAGCGTTTTTGGATCAGGTGTGTCGAATCAACCTGGATAATCTTCAGCCAAAATAGCCGCAACTAAGTGTGGTGTGCCTTTCCTTTTTTGTCTGATTGTACTTGTAGTAACCCGAGAGCATGTGTGCACCTTGTTGTAAGTGACAATAGTGAAACTATTTGAGTTCATATGCACAAAAGCTCTTAAACCCCACTTGTATCCCTCTTTTGCTCCCCAACATTTTGCCACGAAACGTGTGGGTTCAGACTTCTTCATTTCATACTCAAAACCATTCTCATATACACCTTTCTGCAGGAGAGCTTGAAGTCCCTGCCTAGTGTCAAATTCTTGACCTTTATATATATATCTAAACCATCTTCCCATCCATGATATACTTGCAAGTTTCCATCAGAATGTTTGACTTTTGTATCATCATACACGTGCTCATATCTTTGTACAGGATCTGTATCATTTTCTTGCATCTCATTGTCTTGCATTTCAATGTCTTGCATTTCATTGTCTTGCATTTCACTATCCGGTATATCTAAACCATCTCTAGCGGTAGAAAACAGCTCATCATTGCTTGGACCTACATCAACATCAACTCCATGATCCTCTCTTGAAACATGCACGCTTCCATGACTTTGATCAACATCCTTGATGAACTCCACATGTAGAACACTTCTACATTGACCTTTACTCACTTGTAGTAGATAACCAAAAACATTTTCGTCATTCCAAATATATGATGGTTTCTTCATGTTCAAGACCAATGGATAGTAACTAATTTTCAGCTGAGATGTAGCTGCATCTATCAAAACATTTCTGCAAATTCCCTCCACTAATCCAACATAAGTGACATCCTCCAAAGATTTCCTCATCACTAAAGTGTGAATCTCATTATCTACAGAATTCCATATAATTTTATCACCGTTTTTTAAATAGAATCCCCCATAATCATAACATATGACTGTGCAACCACTGTTACTCGTTTCCCCTGAAAAGAACAAAACAATCGTAAGGTAATCTTATCATAGTTATACCAGTTTTCCTAGTCGTACTAGTTCACTTAAAATGTCCAGTTATGCTAGTTGTACTCAGTGGTACCCAGAAAGTTTGGTTCATCCTAGTCGTACTAATTCACTTAATATGTCCAGTTATGCTAGTTATACCCAGTAGTACCCAGAAAGTTTGGTTCATCATACGAATCATCACAATATATTACGATTCATTGCTCAGTTAACCAAGATATCCCATTTAATTAATAATATCAGTTTTTAATAGCATTACCCAACTAGCTCAGTGACTCCAATGAGCAAAAAAAATTAAAATTTTCTCTACTATGAAATTCCCTAATTGAGAAGAAACTATGTATTAATTGATTTGCCTATGACATAAACTTGATAATTCAATCATGAAATCAAAAATATCATAAAAACAGCAACAACTAACTTTTAATTTCACGCCTCCAATTTCGTCAATGGTGGAAACGTGAGAGGAAGAAGAAGGCGAGAGGAGCAATAGAGAACGTGTGTTTCTTCAATTGGGTGAATTAAATTTTTGTTGGATTGGTTAGTTTGGAAAATTAAATTTGAGGGTTGATTTGAATTAAATTTTCTCCCAAATCATCCGCTTTTTCTTTTCCGATTTTTTTTTTTAAATAAAGGACAAAACAGTCAATTCAGTGATGAGAGGAGCAGTCAGTATTAGAGTGTGTATAAATTTTTGTTGTTGTACGGAGGGGCATTTCAGATTAGAGTTCACAAATACATGTAGCTTGGGAACAAGTCTAAAAAGGCCTATTAACAATCCTGGCCCATTTATCAACTTTGTGATGATTCCTTTTGTGAAATCAGATGCGATTTGCGTTTGTGATTGTAATTGCAATAGCAATTACGATTAGAATTGCGTTAGCGTTTTGGCTGCGGAAGATTTAGAAATTGGGATCGTCCTTTGTTGAAGAATCAGAAGTCTAGACTCCTTTTTATTCCTTTGACTAATTTTGCGTTTCTTAAACCATCCCCAACAGAGACCTTTAGGTGTCTAAACAAATGTTCTTAATAATAAAACTGAATAAAAAAATAGTTCATAGTATTTTATATTTTAGATTAATGTCTAGATTAAGACATTAGTATCTAAATTAAGAATGCACATGTGGCAAACTGGGAGTAGACGATAGAAAACTCTAGTTTCTGAGCTATACTTTTATAATTTATATGTTTTCATGTATTACATTTTTAAAAATATATTATGTTTTAAAAATTGTTAACAAAAACTTTTATTTAAATTTATTTAAAAAAAATATTATATATATATATTTTTTTTAAGAAATCTATTAAAAATATTTCTATTGTATGTTAAAAAACAATAAAATACTATAAAATATCTTATATACCTAAAATACATAAAATATTAATAATTAATCAATAAAACTCTATTGGACTTGCTCTTAATCAAAGAAGACTCTTTCGTCTTTTTTTATATGTTCTGGTGAATGTTACAGAGATGTGGATAATAAACGTTACGGGAGCATTATTACTTTTACTATGTAAGGTGATTGATTCAATCATGCTTCTACTGTAAAGAAGAAGATTATTTACAGAAAAAAAGTAGTTATTTATTATTGTTCAGTGCTTTTGTCAAGAAAACTTAAGAGAAACCCACTCACGATCCGACGAGATATTGGATTTGGAATCTGTCGACACAAACGTCCGTCGATGTAAGCGACGATACCTGAAGCCACGAAATTGCCAATACCAGCTTTCCACATGAACTTCATCTTATTCTTCTTCTTGTCATCAAGTGCAGGTACGATTGCAGTACTGGAACCAGCGTCATTACGCTCAGACTCTGCTTCTTCTTTCTTTGGCCTTATACCTGAAATGGCCTTAGTCGCATGCTGTTTGAGTATGCGAATTGCAAAGATCACGAAGAGATGTTTTGGTCCGATCCTCCATTCCTGACCATATTGATATATTCACATCACTCAGGGTCCCATCAACATCAAACACAAGAGCAGAAACCCCAAAGTCCGATAGCTACTCAAGCAGGGGGAAAAGGGAAACAAGCGGTGATTATGATCAAAGATCTTAGTGATTTCTCATGAAACCAGTTTCAAAATGGGTTACAAGAAACATGTGAATTTACTAGCGAAAAACAGATCAACAGAGAAAAAATAAAATGAGGTTTTACATAATCCTTTTGAGTTAGGAGACAATACAAGCTGCTGAGTTTTACACTGTTCCTAACTGAGAAAAGACTGCAAGTTTTAAACTTTGACATTGCGCGCGCTTCAGTACCTGTTTGAGAAGGAGCTAAACTTACACCGTCAATGGTTTCTTCTTAATCCTTTACCGAGTTTTGGCTACGCATCCTATACTTCAAAGCTTTGATCACCGATTTTGCAAAAATGAAGGCAGCTTCAGCTTGAGCTTCTGCTTCATCTGCCTCTCTTGCCGCTTCCTCAGATTCAGCGATTGCGAATTCTGCTTCCGCCACTGCTCTTGCGGCGGCTACAGCAGCTTCTTGTTCTGTCATGCCATTTATCATGTTTAACTCTCCATCCACTCGGGATTGAGAAGGATCTCTGACGCCATTCTCCTCAGGTCTTTGAGACGTCAGATTTTCTGCTGCAGCCATAAAGTTGGGAGAGATCTTGTATCTGTGCTTTGTCTGCAAAGACGAGAGAAACTCAACTGTTAAGTGAGCAATGAAGAGAAAATGTGATTTTTTTTGTAAGCAGAAACTTGGAACAAAGTGTCTCTTGTATAACCTTAATTAATACTCCAACATTTGTCAAATACTTAAGTCTTAAAGCCACAGGACGTTTCTTATTCGGTTCCATCATGAAATTGTCCTGCGAAAAATTTACAGCTACATTATTAGGTCCTTGATGATATGAATAGACGCAGAGATCCTCAACGAACATATGGTTTAAGAGTACCTCTATATACCGCCAGATCGATTTTTTGTCACACGGTTTCTTGGAGTTGGTAATGGCCTCAAAGATAATCTTATCCTCACTACAACAAACATATTCTTAAAGCTCAGATCTTTCTTCAAGAAACTTAGACTAAAACTTAGATATCTTAAACAAGAACAAGAAAAGAAAGCCAAAAACCTTGTAAAGGGTCCTTCAAAAGGAACAGGAGGAGGAGATGTTGGACCATTAGCCAGAGCCACGATGGTGAGAGCTGTAGTGTTGTCAGCATCCTGATTAGCACCCGACGAAGGAGTTCTCTTATGAGCAAGCTTAGCCTTCCTCCTTGATCCAAACAAAGCTGTTACACTTATGTTTCTCCATTTATCCTGTTTTAAATGTGGGTTTAGACCAAACAAACAATGTAAGTTTCGAACAATCTCTTTTCTCAAGTTCTTGTCTTTGAGGTTTTTACCTTGAGATCCACATTTGAGCGAGACTTCAAAACTGAGCCAAACTCAGGATCAGAGAGTATAGTACGCCATTTTCCAGTTCCATGTTTGAGTACTCCAGCTTTAAGAGCTGTTTCTTCATCAGATGTCCACTTCTGCTTTGGGGCTCCCATTCACAATTTCAAAACACACACACACACACACACACTACAACAAAGACTTCTTAATTTTCTCTGTCAAGAGATGAATCCATAAAGAACAATGTTAGAATCGCGAAATTGACTGGTGAACAAAATGAGATGTAGAAGAGACGGTAAAGAACTAAAATTTGAAAACCCTTTTTGCCAGAGACTACGATAAAAAGCAAAATCGGTACGAGATGAGACCAAAATCAAACGGGACGATCGGGTGAAAATCGAGACCGAGGAGAAAGAGAGAAATGTGAAATTTTAACAAGGAGGAGAGGAAGAAGCATGCCTGGTAAAGCGGAAGCGAAAGAGAGAGGACGTTCTGTAGAGTGTCAAGGAACAGATTCTGAATCTAAAATTGTTGCAGACAGAACTAAGAAGAGGAAGACAAGAGAGTGCAAGGAAGAATATCCATAGAAATTGAGAACACGCTTTTATAGAACGAAGAGGAAAGAAAAAAAATAGAAGAACAAGTAAGAAGTGAATTAGCCAAGTAATTAAATTACTTGACCAACTTTAGTCATATAGCCACATAAATTTCTCCTCCGTTCAGTTTTGACCGGGAGTTAGAGGTAGCCGACCACCCTAACAATTCTCTTTTATTTAATTTCAATCGGAAGTTAGAGATAGCCGACAATAACAATAATTATTCTCTGTTCAGTTTGTTTATGTGAGAGTTAGAAATAGCCGATAATGGCAACAATCCTCCTCCGTTCAGTTTCAACCATTAATAACGGTACTTCAAATTCATTATCAAGCCTAAACTTTTGGATCAATTCACATCTCAAAGAATTGTTTTCGGGTAATGGGTAAAGCTTCTCTAAGTTTTTTCAAGTTGCTAAATATATTTCCTTTCTAAATGCTTCTATTTTTCGTTTTATTGTACTACTCTACTTTCATCGTTTTACCGTTATTTTACCGTTGAGCATGTCTCTGATTATATTTATTTAAATCTTTTTAATTTTTAATTTTTAATATAATTAATCAGTTATTCAAAAACAAAAAAGTTACATAAATTTCTAAATAAAGTAAAAAATCATTTTTATCCTTTTTTCTTTTTTGACCATATAACCATTTCGTCATAGTTGCTATGATTTTATCTTCACCAATGTGCGTTGTCCAGCAACGAATGAGATGAAATGTTTCTATTTGGCTGCATTTTATATAATAGACTAAAATCAAATAAGTAATTTCATTTTATTTCATTCTATAAAGAGAACTTCTTATCAAATGAAATAATATATAAACATCATTAGAAAAAATGAATTGGATAGTTTGTGTTTTATTTTATTACATTCTCTTTAGAGCAATTAAAATCAAATAAAACAAGATAAAAATATCATTCAAAAAAAGAAATGAATCTGCAAAAAAACAAGGTAAAAAATATATTAAATTTTTTATTCTATATAAAATGACAATTTATTATACAGCAATAAAATAATAGATATACCATATATCAAATTTTAAAGTTATAAAAAAAAAAAATTGTGTTATGAAGCAAAAAAATAGAGTGTTTTCAATTTATTGCATTTTATAATCAAACGAAAAAATGAAAATAACGGGTTTGAATGGTATGCAGTTTTCTCATGTTTTCGCATTTTAAAAATTTGATTTTACTATTTTTTTACCATTTATGTTATTCATCACGTTTTCATGTTTTTAAAATGTGATTATCTGTTAGCGTGTTAAAAATATAATTAGAAAAAACAAAACATGGTTAATCTACTAAAAGTAGCTTTATAGCGTTTCACAATTATTGAGTCAAAATTAGAGTTTAACTGGTATGTCAACTTAATGAATAGCGGAATAGCTGAATAATAAACTAGCGGAATCAATAGGATGGGTAAACTGAAAACTGAATAAACTCAAAATGCTAAAAAAACTAGTGGATCTGACTGGTATGTCAGATGAATAACAGAATAGCGGAATAACTAAAAAATTGTTAGCAGAACGAATTGGACTAAGGACTTGAATGGTATGTAGCTTTTTCACGTTTTGAAAACGTGATTTCACTAAATACATATCATTCACAATATTAAGCATTGAATGATAAAAAGTAAAAATTGACACGCTGTTTTTTAAACTATCCCGCACGTTTTAAATTTATAACTAGTTTAAAGAAAAATTCATTCATCTAATAGATACTAGCCTTTTAGCGTTTTGAGTTTATTTGATTTCAGTTTACCCGTTATATTGATTCCACTAGTTTATTATTCAGTTATTCCACTATTCTATTATTAAGTTGACATACCAGTCAAACCCTGAATAATATGTTGGCTGAATAATTATGAAACGCTGAAAATCTACTTTTAGTAGATTAACCACATTTTGTTATTACTAGTTATATTTTTAACACGCTAGCGGAATCACGTTTTAAAAACATGAAAACGTGATGAATAACATGAATGGTAAAAAATAACAGAATCAAATTTCCAAAACGTGAAAACACAAAAAAAATCTGCATACCATTCAAACACATCTATTAGATGACTAGATTTTTCTTTAAACTAGTTATAAATTTAAAACGTGTGGATTGAATTAAAAAATAGTGTGTTGATTTTCACTTTTTATCATTCAGTGATTAATATGGTATGCATTTAATAGAATCACGTTTTTCACTTTTGAAAACGTGAAAAAACTACATACCATTTAACCTCTAAGTTAAGTTCGTCCCATTAACAATTTTTCGCTTATTCCATTATTCAGTTATTTATTTGACATACCAGTCAAACATCGCTCAAAAAGAAATGAATCTGCTTGAGTGTTTCTATTTTATTGCATTCTATAATCAAATGAAATAAAACAGAAACATCATTCAAAAAAGAAAAAAAAAATGAATCAGATAAGGTATTTCCATTTTCTAGTATTCTATATAGAGCATTTAAAATCAATCCAAACAGAATACAAACATCATACAAATAGAAATGAATCGCACGCATAAAAGTACATAAAAGCAAAGCAAAATCTGGAGTTCGTAGGATTGAGTGAACTATCAGGCTTTCTGGAGTATGGGCTTCACCCCAAAACTTTCAATCTTTTGATAATAATGATTAATTTTTTTTTTATAAAAAAATACAATTTATAAAGAAATATTGATAACTAAATTAAAATTTTTTACTAAGTGTTTTTTTTACAACAAAATGAGTTATATTTATTTTTGTTTCTCTCGGCCTACTTAATAAAAAATACATGAATGTTTTCACACAAAAGTACCGACAACACATTTTTACATATACAAATTACAAAAGATGGGCAGCATGCCTTGAATCAAATAGTCAATAAAAAATAAAATTAACAAGACCTGAAGTCAAATTCGAATTCATAACCAACAAAAAAAAAAAAGAACAGAAAGAAACATAGAACGTGATGAACACACATATACACACACACATAACCAGAAGAAAAGAAATCTAAATGTTGATCAAACACGCCTTCTTAACATTTTAAAAATAAAATTTCAATAAAATTCGGCTCCATCCATTCTCTAGACGGTCAACGGCAAATATCTTTCTTCTTTTTGCCAATCAAAAGCAAGCTTCCAAGACGAAACAACAGCAGAGCATAGCCAAACTGTAATACAAATACACATACGTATATGTATTAGTAACATTTACAAATTATAAGCATATATATCAAAGATTAAAAAAAAAAAAAAATCAAAGATATCTAGCTATACCTTTTATAATAGTTACAGTGAACAAATCATTTTTTTAGTAATTTGTTCTATCAACACAATTGTATTAAGTGATTTGCTACTTCTGCTGCAACCATTCAAAGATCATAAAGCAAAAAAGAGAGATAGAGATTGGGTCAACGCACCATCCTTCGAGAAAGCCTGAATCCTTTTTCTTTTTATCCTTTGGTGGAGCCTGGCCATAATGCGGTGGAGGAGGGCCCTGATAAGGATATTGCGGTGGAGGACCTTGAGGATATTGCGGCGGAGGATAGCCTTGTGCCGGATATGCTTGACCGTACCCCTGCTGCGGCGGTGGATAACCTGCCGGAGGATATCCTTGTGGTGGATATCCTTCCTTAGGAGGATACCCTTTAAGACAACAACAACAACAACATCAGAATTTAAAAATTAAAACAAAGAAGAAAAAAATCGAAAGTAATATAAACAAAACTTGGAATTAGTTAACCTTGAGGAGGAGGAGCACCAACGGGATGTTGTTGATCTTGATACATCTTCTTCTCTGCTATGCTCTTATCTGTGGTTTTTTTTCCTTTCTATATAACGAACTCTCTGCTTCCTCTTCGCTGTTAAAAGGAATAAATTTAGGATTATTGATGATAATGATGATAATAAAGGAGGATTAGGAGACAAAAGACATGTTCTCTCCAAGGACTAATCTTAGATCTTGCAGATTAACTATATTTAAGAATATTACAAGTGAGAGACGACCAACTCACTTTGTGGAATCATTCAAATTTAAATGTTATAGAAATTTCAACCTTTACCAAAAAGATGGCTTTTTCCATCGCTTGCTGTATCATACATCATCTTCCATTATCCAAGTTGACATTAATCAATATTGAGTTTCACATCATTGATTACACATGAAGAAAATGTATAATATTTGAATCTGTATTGGTCAATATTAGTTTTTGACAAAGCCATCTTGATTTTCTAGTTGAATTCTCTCATTATAAAAAAGTATAACTTAATACATACCCTGAAAAATCAGCAATTAGAAATTACCACTAAAAAAAATCTGAGATCTTGTTGATTTTACGACCCAGCCAATGCCATAAATGAAGTTTTCAATGATGAATACATATGCTTGTTGCTTTTCACACAAGCAACCTAAGAGAAAGCAGATTAGGGTTGTTACTTGTTACAACCTTCGTACCCTACAATGTTACAAGAGTCTCTACACTCTCCTTCCGGTTGAAATAGTTTTCACTGGCTGCTTGCTTCTCAGAATCAGAGGAACCATCTCGTCGCTTAACCTCTATCGGATTCACAATGATTCTTCTGGCGTTTTTCGCCGCCCATTCACCAAAACCGGGTGAAGAAACCAGCTCCTTCACCGCCTTTTCCGTGCTCTCTCTACTGAACTTTTCCAATTCTTTCTTACTAAACTTTCTTCTCCCTTTTGGTGTTTTGTGGAATGAAGAAGGAAATGTATCTGAATCAGATAGCTGTGTTTTCCTCTGCATCTTTTTGATTCCTGAAAAGACCATTTCACAAAATCAAAACCGGTTCTTTAAGAATATTAGTATTAATGAACTTAGACCCCTAGAACCGCAAAAAGCAAAAAGAAGCCAAAACCTTTAGGAAGAGGAGAAGCGAATGTAGTGGAATGGTTTAAGCCGAGGCTACTACGATTCTCAGTTTCATCATCGATTCTTTGTGATAACAGCTTTCTGCTGATACTCTTTAGAGCTGATGAGATTATAATTCCAGATATCAACGTTCCTCCAGCAAGAAAGGGATCAAGAGAGCTCTGTAATGTTAACACAAGATCATTGCCTCATGTTTGGTTATAATTAAAGAGGAATCAAGAAGTTGTAGGAAATGAAGAACAAACGAACAAAACCTGAAGAATCAGAATCGCAGCGAAAGCTCGAATGGTCCAAGAGACAAAGACTGATGTGGTAATGTCAACAGAACCATCTTTCGTCACAAGAAATTTCTTGACAGTCCAAAATCCTGACCATGCTCCAAACAGAAATACAAAGGCACCCGCAAGAATCGCCATCTGCAAAATTCACATAAATGTGACATTGACATAAAAACAATTGCAAATATCTAAAAAAAAGTATTTAAAACTTACATACAATGATGTACAAATCTTCACTGGCTCCTATCTGCATTAGCAGATGTTGAATTAAACCGTTAAAGTATTGAAGAGAGTAACCTCCCACACCAATCTGAGAAGTTAAAAAAACAGTAAAACATGACTAAATGTTGGATTGAAACAAGAGAGGTCAAGAAAAGCCAAATCTCACCATGGATGAGTATAGAAACAACTCAAGACGACTCTTCCCTCCAGTTAGGAGACGCTTCATCCCCTGTTTTCACAATCATCTATCGCGTAAACCAAAGAGAAACCATGAAAATATAAGCAAGGGTTTGGAGAAAAAGTTTTACATACCTGGTTAATGATAAGAGTTACAAGAATGATAATCCCAAAGGAAACGGCACAGAAGTAGTAAAATGGTAATGACATACTCAATGTAGAAGCCGAGCTCAGCAACACAGTCCCCATGATTAAAAACACAATACGGTACATGAAGAACTCTGCGAAGCAGTAGCAAATAGACAATAATCGTTTTGAGTTAGCAAAGAATAGATATAATGAACAAAACAAGAACAAAGAAGCTACCTTGTGTAGCAGAAAACTCCAAGATGGCTTTAGATGAGCCACCACAAGATGTTCTTACATCGAGGATCTTGTAGTCAAACGGTGACATGACCCCGACCCAAGAACCTTCGGATAGTTTCGTCCACTGACCATGAGGACACATTCCAATTGCAGAAGACGAATTCCTACAAACAGAGAGAGAAAGAAGATCTTCTTGTATGATCAAAAATGCAGAAAACTTTGGATTTTTTTATAAGCCTAATTCAGAGTTGAGATTGGGACAGATAGATAAAGATTCTGGATTTTTTACTTACCTGTGGAAGCAAACGTGTGTACTTGTTCTTAGAATGTTGGAAGTATTACTTGAAAGGACCAGCTTCAGTGAATGTGCGTATTTATCAATGTGGTTAAGCCTTTGTAATCCATTGATATGTAACCTCTCGCATTTCGATGTTCTATTGGAAGAATCTATCACCTCTATTCTCGGATTCACTTGGAGTGAGACAGTTTCACCCACAACTGCCAATAACAACGAAATTCCCAGGAAAATTCATCAAAATTGGATCTTTTTTTAATAGAAATCGAATTTTTCTTAATTGTATTAAAAAATTGGTGATGATTATTAAGTCGCGGAAAGAATAGAAGAAAACCCTACAAAGCTAAACCATTTCTCAAACACAAGACGGCGAAATGAAGGGAAAAAAACAAAACTTACCGAAGACAAGTTCATCGGAGGAGACAACGGGGAAGAAAGTGAAGAGGTTGAGGAAGAGAAGCACAGCAGTGAAACTTGAGCTTCGGACAAAGACTGATGAGTTAGTCATCGATTTTGCTGGGTGTTTTTTTTTTTTTTTTTTTTTTGTTGATGAACAACACAATAGAACAAAGTAAGGCGCGGATTTATAAATCAAAAGCGCATTAAACAAATTCTACTGTAGATTTGGAGGAGATATGCGTGTGATGTCGTTTTTCTTTGTATCTGAGGAAGTTTGTTGTTGGGCTAGGCCTAATAGATATCAAATAGACCCAGTTGTCGTTATTATTGCAGCGTATATTAGCGTGAGCTGTTAACGATATCAATCCATATTATGTTAAAGTGGATCTCTTATTCATTCATACCAGATTGTGACTTCGGTGCTGCGCAGATTTACCTATTAATTTTTTTTTTATATTTATATTTATATTAATATTATGTATATGTTTATTTTATATTATAATGTTATCTTTTAAAATGTTTTTATCCTAATTTATATATATTTATATTGTAAATTTATTTTTTTAATATAAATTATTATGTATTTAATTAATTGTTAAAAAAAATCTCTCGTATATTTATATGTGTTATAATTGTTTAACTGTATTCAATTGATTTCTGATTTTTTTCTATTTTTTATTTTCATAAATCAACAAAGTGTAATTATTATGTTGGATTTTTTATCGGATTTTTAAAAATAATAATCTATTTTTTTATCTTTTCCTAGTACTCCTACTCCTATTATTCTGATTACAATTACTGATAATTTTTCTTATTTCATGCAAACTTTCGTTTCATTCAATTCTGTGATTGGTTATAACTTTAAATGAGGGGAATTGTAAGTAAAATTGGCGAGATACAGTCAAAGATCTGTTCATATGTTACATAGATTTTTATATTAAAAATATGCTTACTTGATACACTGTTGATTTTAATTGATTTTAAAGGCTTGTCTATTTTCGAAAAGCAATTTTGATGTGTTCATCCATTTGACTATATTGAATGTGTGTAAAGATATTTTTGTCTATTTCCATGTCATGTAGAGGTAATAGAGTTGACTCTGTTAGAAAATATTTTGTTTTAGTTTATTTATACACTTCATATTAAAACTTTACAAATTATATGGCTGATGAATAACCTTATCCAATATCAACTTTGTATTGCCATCATTGAGAAAAAAATGGTTGATAATTATTCTGTGCAAGTTTTTATGTCATCTTTCGTAATTGTTCACATTCCAACTCTATTTATTTATATTGAAAATAATTTTGTTCACATTCTATGTATTTATATTCAAAATAACAGTTTGAAATTTTATTTCATAGAAAATTTACATTTTTATAGTTTGTAAAATAACATTTGTTTTCAATGAATGATTTTACTTTAGTTTTATATATAAATCTTTCTAGGTTTTTTTATATTTTTTTTGAAAATTATTTTCAGTAAGTCATTATGTTATCTTGTTTTATTTGCCTTCCAATTTTTTCATAAAAAAAAATTGTATTTTTTATAACTTGTTAAATAAGTATTTGTTTTTAATTTCAAAGTAATCATATTAAAAGCCCAAAAATAAATACTCAAAATATAGAAACATAAAAACAAAACCCAACATATTTAAAAACTCATTTTAAAATAAAAATTATGTTGATGTGGACACCTTAGATAGAAAGAACACTCTCTAATTATATATATGATTTTTTGTTTGACTAAATGTTTTGTTATGAGGTACATACATGGTGTTATCAATGCCATCTATGTGTTCTAACTCAAAGTAAAAACTGTTGCTATCTACTTCCAAATTGTGATGAAGAATACATATATTTTTTTTTTTGAAGTAGGAATATATATATTATTTGTATTATTTTAGCTTTGTTATACATCACAGTATAACAAATTGTGATGATCACACTGGTAAATCCATATTCCTAATTTCAAATTAGTGACATTGCAACAAAATGTGTAAATCCAATAACATTTTAATTTTTCTTGTGATGGGATATATTTCTTGGTCAACAGATAATCTTTCTGTTGTTTGTGAAAAAATCTAGCATTTACCATAATCGAGAAAAGAGTCTTCTTCTTCAAACTCATCAGTCATCATCACAAGAAACCTCCTCCTCGATTCGTCCCAACACAACAACATATCTATACTTCCTCCGGCGATCCAACGGCGCCGATTGTCTCATCGCAGCTTGAGATTGTCCGCCACGTGTCAGACACCCTTGATCATGTGATTGTGCCGTCGACGTCAAGGTAAAGCTTCTGGGAAGAGCCGTGCTAGGCGGATCGCAGATTTGAAAGTTTCTAGCTAGCTGATCAAAACCGGAGGATCCACCGCCGGTAAGGATTCCGGCGCCGGAACATGACGTAATGCTGCGTATGTATGCGTCACGTGCCATGATCAACAAACGGAAAGGAGCCTTCACCAACCATACGAAGCTGTTTTCTCTCTCTATGCTTCTCCTTTTCATTATTTTGATTCTCAAGAATCGGAAATCAAAAATATATAAATATACTTTATATTATAAAAAATTTATGTGATCAAAAGAGTATAAAACAGAAGAACTCCTCAAAGATTACAAGACAGTTAGACAGAGTCAAAGAGAAGACCATGTCCACAATATGAATTAAAAATGAATTCTTACCAACAAAATAGTTTGTTTATATTTGAATGATTAAATACATTTCTTGTAACTAGATGTTTAATTTATTAAAGGTGTTGTTGTTGGACACTCAAAAGTCAAATCTACTTTTGCATAAAAGATGGACTCCCAGTTTCAATCTGCAAATTTTAGATGAGGTAGGTTTTACCAAACTTTCTTTCAAACATGTCAATGTCATCGCTTAGTGTAATAGTTCGGCCCATATATTAATTTGGCCCAATATGACACAATTGATTAGGATTGTTGCTTGTAATCAACAACACATTAGTGTACTAGTCCACTATTGAATACAAACAAATAGATAAGATATCTAGATCCCATTGTTTGGGAACTCACGGTATGTGTTATTAAACCGGTTGGTTTAATATGATTCGGATCTTTGCATGTGAGGAGATCACAATATTATGTTCTCGTGATTTCACCATTAATCTAATTTCTCTAGCTAGCCATTACGACAGCTTAACAAAATGATACATGCTAATAAAAAAGATGTTTATATATCTGATGCGACACAAGCCGTTCGTGCCACTCTGATTGGGACCTTTTAACAATCTCAAACCATTTAGATGTAATTTGTACAAATTCAAAACTAAAATGAAACGATATCGTGAAAAATATGTATTCGATTTACGCAGTATTCAAAAGGAAAATTTTAAAATTTGAAGTAATGTTGATGCACTGTTTATATCCTATATTCGAAGAGCTTGTGGGTTGAGAACAAAAACTTTGGGTATAATTTACAAATATAGGGGGCGTCATGCATGTGTATGTACATACTATATAGACATAGATTTAGGGGTTAGAGCGTCACGTGACAATCCATGGCTAAGAGAAACAAAGATGATTAATAATAGTAGTATAAGCGTAGCAATGCAGTATATACTCTTTTTTTTTTTTAATTCCATCGTGCTTCTACTTTTGCGATTTTTTCTCTGTATAATTGTCACGCTTCTTTAACGCTAGAACATAAAATATATTTTGTTGAAAAAACACTAGAACTAATTAATTAGCTAAACTGCTAAAGACAAACACATGCGTAACGTTGCAGTATATGTATTCATGTTGATCGATGTCATGGGCTCGGTGAATTATATCACCGGGGAATGATAACGGTAGTAAAATAAAAATCATCATATAGTTGAAAAAACAACTGATTTTATTAATTTGTTTTGAAAATAAAACTCCAGTCACGAATCATGATTATTCATAAAAAAAATCATAGAAAATTTAGTTTCGATGATTTCTTTTACATTTATTAAGTAATCAACTACAAAAAGCTGTTCATTGCAAATAAAGAAATTGCTACCTTTAATATATTTTTTTAGTGATTAATTTTAATTATTTACGAAAATGTAAGTCACACTTCTTTAGCAAAAAAAAAAAAAAAGAAAAAGAAAATGTAACTCACAGTTGTTGAAATTTTGTTATTTCGCTTTCATGAAATTGCTACGCTTTCATTCGTAGGTCCCCTAGTCACCAGTCATTAGAGCACTCATCAGTCCGTATTACTACTGGTAAGAGCAATTTTATTATTACGTAAAATGAAGTTTTTATCATTATTAATAGTATTTTATAATATCCCTATCAATCTCATATCCCCAAGTCTAAAAAACTTGATTACAAAACACGTCATATCACATTTAATCACTTGCCGGTCCACTTTAGTTAGTTTGTTTGACTAGCAAAATATCATCATATTCTAAGGGAAAAACAAACATTTTGAGCATTACCAACTCTGAAATAAATCATTTCATTTGAATCTGCAATCTCATTTCAAAAATTGGTCCAGTAATTAATATAATCGTATTAAATTATTTTTGAAAATAATTATTTTTAATTTTTTGTTGGACAGCAAACTTTGCAGTTATGGGTCAGTACTCAACTGCAACAAAAACAACACATGGTCTCAGATCTCTCTCTCTGCGTCTCCCCACTCCCATCAATTTCACTTATTATTAAATTATCTTGATTTGGTTAGATTGTTTTTAAAAATCAAAATTTTATAAAACAATTTAATAAATTAATCAAGGTTCGGTGGGGAAGAGGCAAAATAGGACACGTGTTGGACTATGAATGGTCTAAAGGAACAGTCAAAGGCAACAAAGATTAGACTGAGGATAGATCGAGGCTTACAGTCAAAGCAAACACTGTCACGGTCAAATGTCTAGCTGGCGCTTTTGCTTGTGGTCCCACTTTTTTTTTTCTTTTTTAAATTCCTCTTTTTAATATATTTACTTACTGTGTATTCCACTCCTTTTATGGTTTTGTAAATAATATTTCTCTCAAAAATAACGAAATGACAAAATAATTTTGCACTTTTTCAGAAAGACTATTATTATGTTAAGTTTTTATAATAACTATCAAAAACAACTGTTCGAGTTATTTTGAAATTTGTTGATTTTTTTATGGCATGGACGCACACAGATTTAATTTTTGTAAGTATCGAAAACGGAGTGATTGTTGTCAACTGAAAAATAAATGATGTAAAAAAGGTTATTGGTTTATGTAACAAAACTGAGAGTTGATGGTGTTAATAACAATGATAACAGTGAAATAAAATGATTAATTAGGGAAATTAAACCTAGAAATTATCGTCGCACGTGCCCGACCTGTACGGGTTACTCTTCCCCGTGGGTGTTTGGAGTTTAGTGAAACTTATCAGCTTTTTGACTACGTGCGGGATTTTTTTTACTCCTATATTTACGACTTTACCCTCCTTTTTGTGTAATGTGTTTTTTAAAACTGGGAAAGTATATCCTTAAGTTAGCGTGGATATTAAGAAAATAAAAAGAGGATTTTAGAATACACTGTCATCTTGACTAATTAAAGATATTCCGGTTTTGAAATCCACTATATTTATTTATCACAAAACTAAAACAAATTTGTTACTTATATAACTAAAATGTTCTCTCTTTGGTATAAAAAATAACTAAAAGGTGTATATGATTGTACTGATTATCCATTTCTATGGATCAAGTGCGTCTTCTCTGTAATTTGAATATCATTTGAGTGAATAATTTTTTTTATATAAATATTCTATTATGTTTCCCTTTATATAATGGCTGAGTTTTTTCTAGGGACAAAATTAGGAATTTAAAATTTACCAGCCGAGGTTTTTCAATGGTAATAAAAAAAAAGTGATACAGTACTTATAATGAAACCGGGAGGTGGGGGCATGTGGTGGAGCTTGCACGTGTGGTACGCGGGTCGAGAGGACTAAATGACCGGCTAAGGCCAGTGATGCACCGGTCACCTTATCTTTTATTTGTTTTCAATTTTCAACCCAAATCTTTCAAGAAATCTTGAATTTCTCTCTTTGTTTTCTACTTTTTATTTTATTTACCCCCTTTTTCTTGTTTTTCAATAATATTTTTCCATTGGGAACAAAAACAAAACAATCACTCACTACCCCAGAAGAGGGTAAGAGAGAAAAAAACAAACAAGAGGGTACGGGTTTCTTCGTCATTCTCACGAATTCGTCATCTGGGTTCTCTCAAATTCTCTTCCTTTTTTATCTTCTGAGATTTTTCTGGGTGCAAAGTGCAAACCTGATTTTGTACTGGGTCTCTAATTTCTTCTTTCTTCTTTCTTCTCATTCTTCATGATTTCTTCTCCTTTTTCTGTTTCTCGAAATTTGTGGTGATAAATTCACATTTTTGGGTGCGGTTGGGCTTCAATCATGTGTTTATGATGTTGAATTATTAAATCAGAGCTGAATGAAATCTTCTTTTTGACCGTTGAAAAGGGAAAGAAAAAAAAAAGGCAAAGGGGGAAAAAAAAGAAAGGCAAAGAGGAACCAGAGGAAGGAGAAGATTGTGTTTTGTTTAACGCTCTTTCTGAGATAAAGACATGCGTTTCTTTTCTTCACTCTTTTTCACCTCTCCTTTGTTTACCATCAATGTTTCATAAAGAGATTTTCCCAAATGCTGTGAGCTAGTTAGAGAGAGAGAGAGAGAGTTTCTGGGTTTTTGATTCTTCTTTAAATTTTAGACTTTTTGGGAAAAATGCCGATGTTTCAGCCGTTAAAGCGAGATGGGTTAATTGGATTTGAAGGCGGTGGTGATGGGCAAGTTTTAGATCTGGATACGGCGGTGAAAGACGGAGTTCTCGGCGGCGTTAACGGCGGTGGAGTTGTCGATGAGAAATTGGATCTGAAGAAGATGATAAAGGAGCTAGATTTACCGGATATACCCTCTGTTTTCATCTGCCCCATCTCCCTCGAGCCGATGCAAGATCCTGTGACCTTGTGCACTGGCCAAACCTACGAAAGGTCAAACATTCACAAATGGTTTAACCTAGGTCACTTGACTTGTCCCACGACAATGCAGGAGCTTTGGGATGATGCGGTAACTCCTAACAAAACCCTTCACCATTTGATCTACACTTGGTTCTCTCAGAAGTATGTGTTGATGAAGAAACGCTCCGAGGATGTGCAAGGAAGAGCCATTGAGATTCTGGGCACGCTGAAGAAGGCTAAAGGTCAAGCCAGGGTCCATGCGCTGAGCGAGCTTAAGCAGATCGTTGTGGCTCATCTGATGGCGAGGAAGACCGTTGTCGAAGAAGGAGGCGTCTCTGTGATCTCTTCCCTTCTGGGTCCTTTCACTTCTCACGCCGTTGGATCTGAGGTAGTTGCGATTCTCGTGAGTCTTGACCTTGACTCGGATTCGAAATCCGGGTTGATGCAACCCGCTAAGGTCTCATTGATTGTTGATATGCTGAACGATGGATCCAATGAGACGAAAATCAACTGCGCGAGGTTGATCAGAGGGTTGGTTGAGGAGAAAGGGTTTAGAGCAGAGCTGGTTTCGAGCCATAGCTTGCTTGTTGGGTTGATGAGGTTGGTTAAGGATAAGAGACAGAGAAATGGCGTCTCTCCTGCACTTGGTTTGCTCAAACCAATCTCGGCTCATAAACAAGTTCGAAGCTTGATGGTTAGCGTTGGAGCAGTGCCTCAATTAGTCGACATCTTACCTTCTTTAGACCCGGAGTGTTTGGAGTTAGCTCTGTTTGTTCTTGATGCTCTGTGTTCAGACGTGGAAGGAAGAGTCGCTGTCAAGGACTCTGCAAACACCATACCTTACACCGTGAAGGTGCTGATGAGAGTCTCGGAGAGTTGCACGAACTACGCGCTTTCGATTCTTTGGTCTGTCTGCAAGTTAGCTCCAGAGGAATGTTCACCTCTTGCCGTTGAGGTCGGTCTCGCTGCGAAGCTGTTGCTCGTGATTCAGAGCGGCTGTGATCAGGCGTTGAAGCAGCGTTCGGCGGAGCTGCTCAAGCTCTGTAGTCTACATTATTCAGACACCATGTTTATTTCCAAATGCAAACTCACAAGGACAATCCAATAACAACAACAAGGTTAAATCTTTTCGCAACCGATCGATTACACGACACATGTTTCAGTGGATCTTCTTTGAGTATTTGCAAATCCGAGATGCGAATCTGCCTCTGCCCTGATGTGTATATATAGATGAAGAGTTTGAAGATCCAGCTTATTGGTTTTGGCGGTAACAATTTGCAAAGGAGAAAGGCAAGCAATCCGCAGATGGAACACACGGAGCTGCGCGGGTGAGAGGATGGGGTTTGTAACGGTTTAATGTTGGTTCGGTTTGCAATAATGGGAATTAGCAAATGTGTAAAGTAACCGCCTTTGGTTCAATCAATTTTCAGAAGAAAGAAAGAAAAATTTGAGGAAAGGAACCACATTCTCTTACTGTTACTTGGGTTCTTGTGAGAGGTTGTTTTGCTTTTTTGACTGTTTCACACAACAGAAACAAAAAAAATAAAGCAAAATCTTTTGACCTGAAACTTGTAGCTTCTTTTAAGCTTTCGAATCTATTTCTCGTCACTCAAATTGTTATTCTATTAGCTTTTCTTAGGTTATGAAATTATAAAAGATGTCTCTTTATTACTCATTGTTCATCTTTGTTCCAAGCCTCACTTATTGACTTGAATGTACCAAAAGGTTGTGATTCTTGAAAAATGGAACACTGTTGTTTCCATAGAGTGACATCTCAAAGTACAGTACGATGTGAATCTGATTCTTGTCTAATAAGTAGTGCAGAAGCTGTGGTGGAGACCAAAAGTCTCCACACGTTGATCTGAGCTGTGTTTACTGTTCTAATGAACAATTGAAAAGATAGTGAGATTTGACAAGAGAATCATTCAACTATTTAGTGAGCTATTCATTGTCCCAAAAACTCAGGCTCATTTTATCGGTTGTCTGTTTTGGAAATGAGTCTGAGCAAATCTCTGTTTTGAGTGGGTTTGTGTACATATCTTCATCAGTGATGTGAGAGCTTTTGTCTCGACGTAAAACTCTGTTACAGTGGAAAAATACAGATGGGCCTGAATTTGAACTTTATGGGCTTTTGCTACGAAGCCCATTTAGTTAACTAACTATTATTTCCCTCGAGGTTTGGATTTGGCGTCAATGGTGTTTGTTTAAGGTCGCGTTTGAGAGATTACGCTTGAGAGAGATCCAGGAAAAATGGCATGGTTAGCGAGATCCATTGCGAATTCTCTGAAGATCGATGAAGATGAAGATGACGAAAAGCAAACGATTAAGTCCGATTCGGTTGAAGATTCCGGTTCCGATCAACCGTCTTCGCCGTCGGTGTTGCAATCACAGTCTCCACGAGGCGTGAAGGAAGATATCTCTGAACTCACAAAGACTTTTAGAAGTCAGCTATGGGGTGTGGCTTCTTTCCTCGTCCCACCGCCTGCTTCTTCCGATCATCCGGAGGAAAATCAGACGGACGGTCATGCGGAGGAGACTCGGAAATCATCGGATCTCGGTGAGGGTGATGAGAATCTGATTGCTGGGATCAGGAGTGATTTCGTGGAGATCGGAGGTAGAGTCAGGACGGGGATCTCGAAGCTCTCCGGAAACTTACCGGTGTCGGAGTTTACAAAAATCGCTTCGAATTTCTTGCAACTGGGCGCGGATTCGAAAGAGCACGATGTTGGAGATGCAATCGGCGTGACGGAGGAAGTAGTTGCGTTTGCGAGGGATCTTGCTCTGCATCCCGAGACATGGCTTGATTTCCCTTTCCCTGACGAGGACAAAGACTTTGATGGTACGTTTTCGAGTCGCATCACGTCGTTAACTCTGTACTCAGATGTTCACTAAGTACACTAATAGAAGATTGAGTTATCGAATATGTTTTGCTTTTTCTTTGCTGCAATTGGAAGTGTTGTTCATTGTTCAAGCGACTTTTTCGAACTCTTCATTTGCAGACTTTGAAATGACTGATGCTCAATACGAGCACGCGTTGGCCGTGGATAGGCTTGCATCGAGTCTTGCTGCTTTGAGGATTGAGCTTTGCCCATCATACATGAGCGAGAATTGCTTCTGGAGGATTTACTTTGTCCTTGTGCATCCTTTATTCAGCAAACATGATGCTTTGCTTCTCTCAACTCCTCAGGTAAGCTTGCTTCTCAACTCCAATGCTGATCATTCTTGTCTTTTCCTCCTGTTATTCGAGTTTTGAAGCTTATTGGTTTTAATGGCGCTTATGTTGCAATGGAAGATTCTCAAGTCTGATAATGAACTTAGACAGTAGCATTAGAATTAGGTTTGGAAACATTTAACAGTGGGTTTGCAAAGTTTATGGAATGATATATGATTGTAATAGTGGGGAAAAGAGTGAGACTTTTCTGATGTGAATCTTTTTTCAATAAAAAAAGGTACTTGAATCAAGAGCACTGTTATCCCATGAGCTGCTGCATAAGAGAAACAAAGCTACAGCAATGGTGCCGCCAGAGAGTAGTGATGAAGAAGCTGCTAGTGCGAATGTGGAACCACTTTCTTCTTTACCCACTAATCCTTCACCTGAACCAAAACTAGAACCAGAAGCAGTCAAAACCGTCACTGTGGAAGCAATACATTCGATTGAGACATTTGACTTTGAGACGGAGAAGCACCCAATCGAGAGCAAGGAGGTACAAGTTGTCGACAAGCCTGTGATCGAAGAAACACCACGCCAGGACAAGCCGGTGCTGATCCCAGTCACTGGTACTTCACCTAGAGTGATTGATGTGCAAGTCGATGATGATGCTGATGATTGGCTGAAGGATGAAGATAATGCAGGAACTGTTAGCTCCTCCACCGGGTCAGCCACCAAACATCTTGTGGATGAGGATGAAGATGTATCGTTCAGTGATCTTGAAGAAGATGACGAGGATGTGCCTGTGAGTTACAAGAAATGACTCATGAATCCTCCTCAGACCCTAAGAACTTAACCTTTTAAATGCTGCCTCTGGAAGAAGAATGTGCCACGGCCGGTCAGGTAAGCGAGGAGAAGAAAGAAATAGACGATGGGCTTGAATGTTGATGAGTGATGACGAATATTGAAAAGCTATATTGTGACCCTATCCGTTTATTACATTTATGTTTGTGAATAGCTCTTTGTACACCGTCTTCTTACAAAAAAATACCTGGCTTGTAAATAAACAGCACCATCTATGATGATGATGCAAAAATGTTAGATATTCCTATAAACCGTTGATCATATAATCCTTTTGAAATTAGGGGGTTACTCATTGAAATGTTTTATTAAATTTTGATGAAGTTATGTATAGTACGAGTATCTTCGTCAGAATTTATCTATACGGAATAAACAGAGAACAGAATCTATAATTATACACTCTTTTGTTTTTGTTTTTTTTGTTTTTTTGTTTAACTCTTTTTTTTTCTGAATCATAATATGAGTTGGAAAGTGGTGGGTGAGAGAGATAATGCTACTTCTTAGCTACTAACAACGGCTGATAATGATTATTGAGCTTCCTTTAAACATCACTTAGGTTATAGCACCTTAAGAGAAGATCATACTCGAATATGGACAAAATGTGTCACCACCTTAAGTGCAATGATCACATTCCCTTTGACCCCGCCATATGAATCCTGGCTCAACAATACCACATTGTCGTTCGTGGCATGTTCTTCCATTTCTTCCAAGGAAGGATTGTAAATCACCTACTGCGTAACTGCGTAATTGTAACTCGGATACATGGGGATTTTGATTGTCACAGGCCCTCCTTCCAGAGTCACTGAAGAGCTCTTCTTCAAAATTGTATCCGGGCACTCCAGAATTGTAGAAATCACGGGCAAACACTCTCACGTCCGCAAGAACATGTCTCCTTACACCAGACCGAAATTGGCGGAGAAAGTGCATCTGCTGGACAAATATTTTGTTTCATCTAAATCCAAAAATCAAACTTACCTAAACAGATTAACAATACATAAATTAGTTTAATTCGAACGAATTCATATTGAAATCTGTGAGTGTCAATATGCGTCGGTACTGTTGAGAGTGTGAATTAGCTCCGAATCTTTTGGAACTTTGATAAATGGTCGGAAGTCGAAAGGAGACAAACGTGTAATATCATGAGATTGAGGAAATGCCACGTATTGAAACACCTTGCCACGTAATTGAAACACCTTGTTCACGATCGATCCAAAATCCAACGGTGAACGAAACTCTGACTTCAAAGAGACGCGACGGCTCGCCTCTTCCAAGGCGTTAGCACCTCACCATCCACGTGTCTGCCGACGATTTCATGTAAATCCAACCTAGTTTTTCTTCTTCTTTCTCTTTCATTTATGGACGTTGGTAAGGAAAAGCGCACCGCCATTATCCATTGGCTTCAACTTGAAAGATACTTACAATAACGGTATTATTTAATAGAAAAAGGGGAAAATGAAGCCATTTTTTAATTTATTTTTTGATATTTTTGAACTAAGTACTCCCCGTTACCTCCAGTTGTGGTTATATTGTTATTACTATGTGCTTGTTTATCGATTCTGTCATATTATTAAAGTTTTACACGATGAAGCATGACCTTGAGTTTTAAATGAGATCAATTTTTTTTTTTTTTAGCTTTTATTTATAGATTGGGATTTTAAAAGACTCCATAACTGACTTTATCACAGCCAACAACAAACCCATGCTCGAAACTTGCAATAAAAACCAATCGATTTCTTCTTGTATTACACGCATGTATACACACGCATGTACACCTTTGTCTCCATCATATCTTCTCGATAGATCAGATTCAGATATCTGGAGCACAATAATTGAGATCACCCTCTCTCTCTCTCTCTTTTTGTTACAGTTCTGTTATTGGCTTTGACGTCATGATTTGAATTCTTATCCAATTCTAAATATCCAACAGAATTTTCTTCTTCTTCTTCTTTTTCTCATTCCTCCGAGAATCTTGACTTCCCACTTCCTTCTCTGATACTTTTGCTCTGTTTTTTTAATAAAGCTGCTTGCTTTCATTCATTTTCCGTGGAAGTGAGAGACAAAAATAGTGTTATACTCTCAGCAGCGAAAAGGGTTTAATATGTCGGAGATTTCTCTCAAATAGTTTTTTTTTTTTCATTTTCCTTGTCTGATTCTGTAGTTATATGGATTTAGCGCTGGGGAAAAAGGGTTTTGATTTTGCTCTGAGGAACAAGAAGTGGATTTTACTAGCAGCGAGTGGTTATGGCGCTTTTAGGGTTTATCATTCTCCTTCGATTTCCCAGAAAAGGAAGCGAATCTCTAAGCTCTTTGCTCTTCTTCTCAACCTCGTCGAAGCAGCCTCTGACTCCGCCGAAGCGGTTAGCGTAATCACGAAGGATCTGACGGAATTTCTCAGATCCGATTCCGATCAAATCCCAAACAGCTTGAAGCAGATTTCCAAAATCGCGAAATCAGATGAGCTCAATTCTTCTTTGATCAGATTCACACAGGCTATGACCGTCGGATTACTCCGAGGATACCGGTTGGATTCCGGCGACGATCAATCCGGGTCGGGTTTCACGGATCGGGTCATGGATAAACTGTTCACGAAATCCGGATCGGGTTTTGCTTCGGCGATCGTCGGTAGCTTCGCTAGAAACTTGGTCGTCGCGGTGTATTCCTCCTCCGGCGAATCTCCGGTCTTCTCTGATTCGAAATTGCTCGACGCGATTTGCTCCGACGATGGGAGGAAGCTCATCGGCGAATGGGTTCAGCGTTTCGTAAGCACGGCGGTTTCGGTCTATCTCGACAAGACGAACGGCGTCAACGTTTTCGACGATCTCTTCGCCGGTTTAACAAACCCGAAACATGAACACAGGGTTAAGCAAACGCTAGTAGCGGTTTGTAACGGTGCGGTCGAAACGTTTGTGAGAGCGTCGCGAAGACCGATCAGCACCGAACCGGAAGTAGACCGATCAACGCTGACCGTTGGATCAAAATCGACGTGGGTCGATCGGGTTTCATCGTCGTTGTCTGTACCGAGTAACCGGAAATACGTGGTGGATTTAACCGGGAGAGTGACGTTTGAGACGGTTAGATCGTTGTTAGAAGTTTTGATTGAGAGAGCAAATGGTAAAGTGGAGAGCTACGTGGAGAAAGTTAGGGAGAGAGGAAATGAGACGAGGAGATATGTGAGAGTTAAGTCATCTCTACTTCATAGTTTATGTTTGTCACTGTGCTTACAGGTTGTTGAAGCTCCATGGATCCTAACTCCAAGACACTGATCAGGCTAAAAGACAAGAAACAAATTTTTGTGTGTGTTTTGTTTGGTTATTCTTGGATTCAATCAAAATTCGATGTACACAACACAATTACTCTTTTTTCTTTTTTTTTTGATTTTAATTTGAGTAGAGATATTGGGAGATGATTGTTTTTGACTTTGGAAAGAAAGAAAGAATGGGTTTTTGTTTGAATGCCTTGGATTTGGATATTTGGATATTTGGATAATGTTAAGCGTGGAACATTATTTGATACACTTTTGAGGATAATAATATGGTATGGATATAGCTGAGTAAGTATGGTGACGTGGTTGTAACAAAGCCCATATACATAGAATGTTCTTTTATGAGAAAAGGTCAAATGAGTAACAAAGAAGTTCTTGTTATCCAACAAAAAACAAAGTTGATTGATAACTCTTTCGTCCTGATTTGATCTGATCAGCTCATATAGCTTTTGGGTTTTTATGCAAATACATATATATTTTTAAAAATTTGAAAGTTTCCGAAACTTTATAAATTAATAATGTTAGAATTTTGATATTTTATTAATTTATAAAGTTATTGATTTATCGATTTTGGATAAAAATTTTTTATTAATAATTAATTAAAATAATATTTTTAAAAAAATTTAAAATATTTTTCAAAAATTTTATAATAAAAATAAAGATAAATAATAAAAATATTTCAATTTTAATATAAAATATCAATATATTCATATTTTCATAGATTATCATATTTATATAAAATTAATTTATATAATATTTATTAATTTATATAAAATATTATTTTATTAATTTATCGATTTGTATTAAATTTTGAATCGGTCTAATTCGAAACCGAACAAAATTATTAATTTATCAAATTTATTAATTTATTAAATATTAATTTATAGAACTTCTACTATATATAACAATATCCCTAAATTGTCATTAATCTTTAATAATATGATTGTATCCTATAAATCGTAAAACATCCATCTATCTCCAAATGAAGTACCCAAGACTTGAAGAATTCGTGTCTAGAAGCATTGTAACATCACACCTTTGTAATTAATTAACAAACAGGAAACCACACTTGGACAAAAATCAGTCTTTTGAGATTCTTTAATGGCACAATTTTTTTTTAGCGAATTGAGTTTGTTTCAAGATAATGAAGTTTATTGTCGAAAAAAAAATCTGTGAATTTGTATGTGTGATTGAGGGCCTAGGCCCATTCCTATCCAAGTACCCATAACTAACGTGTCGTACATACTCTTATACTCTATTGGCCCAGTAAGAAACCTCTGTGCCTGAAAAGTAGGTCTTCACAAGAAAAGTCAACTGTTTTTTTTTTCAGTCAACTCGTCTAATCTTAAGACAAAATACAGCTGGTGGTTACAACCAAACTCTGAAACGGAATCAAATCTTTGTTGTGACTTTTAATATAAACCTTACAAAAATAAAGCAATGAAAGCTATTTTTAAATCCATAATCATACAAAGAGAGTGAATAATATAAGTATATGACTCTCAAAGTAACAACAAAAGTAGCAATAAAAAAAAACAGAAAATACAGTGATAGTTGACAAAAAAAAAAAAATACAGTGATAATTCTGATAATGTTGTAATTAGTTAATTAATCTGTCTAGTTTATAAATCAGTGCTTGTGATTCTGAGTGTAAATGTAATCGGTGTGAGCAACAAGGGTTCGTCTAATCAAACACTCTTCTTCTCCAATTCCTTTGCAGCTTTCTTCTTCAACCTTATCTTCTTCAATTTCCTGTATACACATAACAACAAAATATGCACGTCAGTGTTAACTTCTAAACTACTTCCGGTATACATATAACAAAATCAAACGATTTTTGTGATAGTATAAAGTATAAACCCTATTACACTACACAAAGCAAATCGGACGAATGATATCTTTCAAGGACCATGCATGCAAACTTTTTTGGACGACTGGTTCCTTGGCATGGAACATACAGACTATGTAGGTTCCAAATATAAGTTTAAATATTTACAAGGCAGTCATTAATTAATTTATTTTATAACTAAAAAGTTAGGACATTTTTGGCCCATAAGCTCCTTTGACTCCGGACCAGTCTTTGATCATACATGTTAAGGTGTAAGTCATTCCTCTCAAGAAAAGACTAGATTAACTGCAAATATATGTTTTGACTCTTGCAATATTCTTAAAGAACAAAGAAAGTTCACGAACCTTAACGGAGATATCTTTGGAAGAAGCGGTGGTCGTCATCGGAGTCAGCCTGGCTGCGTAAGTTAGCGTTGAGCAGAGGAGGAGAGCCATGATGAAAATGGTTGTGAACTTATAAGTCATATTGATTTGCAAAAGGAGAGAAAATAGAGAGAGAGGGGCGATGGAGGATTATTAGGTGAGAGGATGAAGAGAAGATGAAGTCAATTAGGTGAATTTATAGAGAAACACGAGTTGACAAACAGCGAGATGCTGCCGAATGTGAACCATGGAAACGTGTAAAAGGTAAAGTTAACTATACCTTTATGACGCCATAAAACAATTCGTACATATCGCTCATATTAATTGGATTTAGTTTTATGTTTGTTAGTAGTAATCAAATAAGAAGATGCTCTTCATTCATGCCGTGTTAGATTATTTGATGGCCCTACTGAATTATTTGATGTTGTGTGTGTGTGAATGATTGCTCGAAAAAGCAAAATATCATGTGACCAGGCCAAAAATGTGATCGCTGGATGAGATATTGAGATCAAAGACAATATATACATTTTTGTTTTTTCAAAAAATTTGCTCCAGATTATTTCAAACCAAACAGTGGGCGGATTATTAAAACATTATATAGATATATGCTTGCAAGTATATTTTAATACGAAAAAAGTTTTAATTATTCGTTTTGCGCGCCATGTTTTGCATGCAATATTAGTAGATTTATAGCCGACATATACATGTAGAACATATATATACTGCGGGAAATTGATCGCTGAGTCGAATCATATATCTAAATAATATGAATGTGTTAGAACGAAAGAAAAAAAATTGAAGGTTCCAGAAAGTTGGTGGTGGATATATTTATATGGATGGAGAAGATTCACCTAATGATTCTCACGTGCAGTTGAATGGAAAGAATCAAAGTAAACTTGTGAAAAAAATAAACTGATTCGTAAAAACAAATATGAAATAGTAGTTTTGGAGTTATTCTAGAATGCTGTAGAAGGTAGAAGAATCTAGTACCTCATCCAACAACGTCACTGTTAAATTGCAATTTTTGTTTGTTTTGATAACCTGAAGTAGATTAAATTAAAATTTCTTCGGTTTTATTAAAAATGTCATTTTCATACTTTTCACATAAATTAATTCAAAAATTTAATAAAAATCTTATCTATTCTTTAAAAATATATTAAACAATTTTTAGTTAATATATTAATATAATAAGATTAAAATTAAAATTTTATTTAAAAATTTACATTAAATATATAAAACGACATTCTTTATATAACAAAAATAGTATAAAAATAAGTATATGCACTATAAATATATACTGGTCAGAAATTTATGAAAATTATAAATAATTAGAATTACAAATTATAACTCGGTTAAATATAAGAATATTGTCACAATACTAAAATATATTATTTAATTATGAGAAAATTAAAATCATCAGCAAAGCGATACAATCTATTGTGCAATATAAATTTTAAAATTTTAATTAAAATACGAGTTAAAACTGAAAATTGTATTACAGTAAAGATGATAATACAAAACATATATAAATATAAATATAATCTGAATAATCAAAGAATAATACAATATATATTTTTGTTAGTAGATAAAATCAAATAATATTGATAAAATATGTTATTATGTAGAATATTATTTTTTCTATTTCAGAAAATGTCATTTGATTATTTTCACACAAATTTAAAAAGTTATTAAAAACTCTATTATACTTTTTATAAATACTCTAAAATCATTTTTTTCTAATTAATATACTAGTATAACAAAGTTAAAATTGAATTTTTATTAATAAATTGTATTAGTAATACAAAATGATACTTTTTGTAAAACAAAAAAGAAAATTTTAGAATGACAATTTTTGTTTGAAACGAAGAAATGTAGAATAAAAATATTTAGATTATGTTAATTATACAAAAATAATAAAATCTCTATATAGTGATTAACATTAACATATTGCTATATTTAATATAAATTTTCTAATCTAAAATTAACATATTTAGTATAATATTTTATTTTTCAAAACTTTCAATTTAATTTTGATGAGTTTTGCAGATTTTATTTCATAAATGTCCTACACATTTCACTTCCCAAATTACTCTAATAATATATAACCTAAAAAACTAAATCAAAATCATCAAAGAATAATAAAAAAATTCTTTTGTGGGTGAATAATATTTTTCAAAAAAAACACATGAAACATTTTTAATGGTAATTAGTTGTATATATTGAATATGTAAAAATATGTGATTTGATGACTTTATAAAACCTTTAATGTAAATTCGACATCAGATTATTTAATAAGTATATAAAGATCGATTTTTTTAAAAAAAAATGTGAAAAGAAGAAACACTGGACCCAAAAAAAAAAAACGCGCATGGTATATTGGTATTATGCAAAATTCTGGTCAAAAGAATAGGGAAAAGGGGTTAGCAAAGTCTTATTACTCTTTTCAAACCTATATTGAATATTTAATTCCATTCACATTTACAATTACATCATACCCACGTATGTCGTAAGCTTCTAACTTGACGATTTCGATCTGCTTCTTGTGATCACATCTCATAACGATAAAAAGTCGTTTCTTGAATCCCCGGATACGCTGCTTCGAGAAAGGTACTAAACCGTTTAAAACACTTTTTGGACTGATCGTTATGTGTCATATGTTAGTCTGTTTGTATATGGTTGCGATAGTTCGATGGATATATCAGTTTAACCTAATATTTCTTGTTACTGTGATAAGATAATTCTTAACACTCAACATATATAGTTTGTGTAAGTTCAAAATTCTTTTAATTGGAGAAACATAAGTTATAGTTATCATACAACATAAGATAAGACACGTCTGCTAAAACTGAAACAGCTTCCTTCTAACCATTTAACTCATTCATGTCGTGTAAGTATTAAATATAAAAAGTAAAACTAATTAACTTGAATCCGATTCAATTCAATAATTTCTTATATATTAATCGCAATTTGATTGTCAGTGTGTGAAAGTATGATTGTATTAAAAAAAAAACTCATGTATTGGTCTGGAAAATGGATACACACTCTGACACTCACACACTCGTGAATATTGCTGAGGTTAATAAACCATTTTTTCTTGGTGTTTTTACTTTATACTAATATGACAAATAAACGAAAAGAGTATTAATAGGCGTTATCAAAAATAAATGATAGTATTTGATGAAGTTTGTCTTCTCAAATCGAAAATCAATACAAGAAGGCATTTTTAGCAAAAAAGAAGCCAACATTCTTTCGTTCAAGATCCAAACTCCAAAATAGTAATTATCTTTCTTTTTATCCAACACCGAACAAACATATATTCCTCTTGGAATATTTATAATTTTCTCTTTCCATCTTTTCCAGTACGTAAGATTCTCTTCTTACCAACTTTTCAATTATTTCTTCATTTTTAGTTTTCTAACACAAATTTTCTGAATATTGTAAGCATAACGGTCGAAGTTTTCACCTATATTTTTTATAAGACTAACAAACCAGAGGGCACTTGTGGTCGTCAAGGCTTTCCGGTTACATGAATCATGATTCATATAATTTGCTTATTGATTTCAGAGTTCTTTTACTATCCATTTGCACAATAAATACTCGAATACTGTAGCCTGGTATGGTATATAATCTGAATCATCAGAAATGAGCATTACCATATTTACACCTGGAGCTTGAGATTTTTGGTTTTTTTTTCTTCAACAATCAAAACTTTTAATTTCTCTATGATCCACATCTCGGATAATTGCTTGATATACTGACAGTCAAACTTAGCATCCAAATCTACGAGGAAATACTTTATCAAATCTTTCTCCTTGCTGAAGAACTTATGATCATCATCACTCCCCAATCAGAAGGGTGAAGTTACGAACACATTTAATGTAAAACCTCCTTTTACTTTAAGAGTATATAGATTGGCTACAATATGTTTCGACAATTCTTCAGTTTTAAAACTATTGGGAATGCACTAGAGCCAATACCAACATATATATAACTACAGTGTACCTACTTTTTTTTATTTATAAAAGTATTTATAGTTTAATAAAAGTAAAATTCCATAAATCAATATATGGAACATGAAGTTGTTATAACTTATAACTAATAATTTGCTCATCTCCTCTTTAGTCTTCTAGATTGATTTGGATGTCAATTCAACAAGATCACGCCAAATAGCTATAAGTAATAATTAATATTCAATGGTCAATATATATACGTGAGATCAACTAAAACCACATGAAAAAACTGAATAAAATTAAATGTTTATCCAGTTATCCCAAAACCGAGATTGATATTGATATAAAGTTTTATAGATAATTGTCACAACGAGAATTTATGACAAAAAAAAACAAATCCTTTTGGACTTTCTCGAGTTTACATATATTGTTCCTGCGTGAGAAAAATCATCTTTCTATATAGAGAAATTACAACAATACGAAGTTGTCATCCAAACAATACGAATTTATCAAATATGTTAGACAGTTTCACGACAATTCTGATACATCCCTTTATAAAAATCTTCAGAAGATAGGAAGATTTGTAGGTTTGGTTTGGATGATTTGAAATGTCCTGTCTCAGTTGTGGATTTCGATCTTTCTTGCAGTATTTTTTTTTTTATGTTGTAATTTTAGTTTTGTATGTTTTCTTTCATAAAAATTTCAAACGAAAAAATAACTGTATATATTTTTCTATATATTTACTAACATATTTATTACTTTCAAATTCGAGTTTACGTACAGAGTCGTCTCTGAAACGTTCTAAGCAAAAACATATAGTATTATATACCACTATTTGTCTAACAATGTAATAATGGAGAAAACCCTAATTTAAATAAAATTTTATTACAGAAACCATTAACCTATCTGTATTAATATATTGGATACCTCGAGATATGTAAAAATCCAATATCTAACATTTTGTGCCAAAAGTTTGTACTTCAAAAGATTCATACAAACTTCATTATAGTTACAGCCTCTGTGTTGAAACCCACTTTCGAAGTTGGTTCCAACGCCTGGTTGATTACATCTTTTGGTATGTTAGCAGCAAGCAGCAATGGATTGCAATCATCCATTATACAAAATATCGTTAGTTTTAGAGTTTCTTGTATATGAAAGTAAGAATTGAAATTGTTGGGCCTTCAACAATTCTTTCGATAATTACATCGTCGTCGAAGCTCTAATATTGCAAAATAGCTGCTATATAGCCGCAAATGTTATATCAACGAGAGTGAAATGGTGCACCTATCAAGCTGAAACGTGTGATAAAAGAGAATCGAGATATGGGTTCTCGGTTAAACAGTCAGAACTCGAGTTATATATATAA